TTGTTTGTGTTAACTTTTCATCACAACAACAACCACAATAACAATAACAATAATAATAATTCAATGAGCCTAATTAAAAATAATTTGCTGTTCTGTTATGACAAATGCTCATTTAGCCTCATGATGGTTAGAATACATCGTGATAGGTGAAGCGACCCCGACCATGACAATGTGGTTGACAGATTTCATGCAAAATTTCCAAAATGTAGAATTTCACTTTCAAGAATGAGGATTCGAAAATAAATTAGATGGTTACATTGCATACTCTTTGTTTCTTGCTTTATTCAAAATGTTTTGGTTTTGGAAGCTGATTTCAACATTAGAAAGCATAGCCTACATGAAGTCATATTATAGTAACTCGATGCCTATCAAATAAGTATTAAAAATTCGCCATAATTCATCAAATATCCGTGGCTTCCTGCAGTCTAGTCGGCTCCCTGGCCCACAGCCAAGTGAGACTCGATTCGCTCCACTAGCCCCCCTCCCCGTCGGGCCTTTTGCCCCTCCGCCGGGAAGGTCCTGGCGCCACCACTTATTTAGGCCTATGTACTGAAATTTAGAAAGAAAGTGGTTAAACGGAAGGGCGCTTTCTTACGTTATACACCTCCACCCCCATTGGATCCTCCCCCTGATCAAGACCTTAAAGGTCCATTTCCTATACCAAGCTTTATTTTATAGGCCAGGCCTATGTGATTTACGGTACGCATGGGTATATGGCAGCATGCCCATATATGGATGTGATATGACATCATCATGTCCATATAATATGAATGTGATATGACATTTTCATGCACATAATGAATGTGATGACATTATCATGCACATAATGAATGTGATGACATCATCATGATATGGGTAACTGACACAAAATTGCAAGGAACAAAAAACTCTTTGCTGACAAGAAACATATTTTATAGGATTTTATGGGTGTTTTTTGTAGTTTGAAAGTAGAAATGAGGGGAGAAGGCCCAAAAGGGATGAGAAAAGGGTAATTATAAATGACAGGCATGTGTTGGCGGAACGGATCCCTGTCACGGTCATAGCTTTGTATTTTTAGAAATAGTTCTATCAATTAAGGGGCCTATGAATCATTTCCATTTTGAATTATCCTGAATGAACACAGAAGTTGCTAGGAGAAAGTTTCATTGCAGTCATGTCGTACATCGTAAGTCTTCTGGCGTTAGCGGTTTTTGTGCACGTAAATCAAAAATCCGCGGTAAATGGACAGATCGGGGCACCTCCTGGGCCTACGAAACCGAGGGTATTAATTCTTGGCGCAGGACCGGCGGGGCTTCAGGCAGCACAGACTCTAGTTGACCAGGGTATTACGGACTTTTTGGTTTTAGAAGGGGCTGGATATTATGGTGGACGTGTGCGAGATATTCCATTTGCTGGGGCTCAGGTGGAAGTCGGGGCTGATCGGGCTTTGCCGTTGGCCGAAGCGTTGGAAAGTTCGGCGATTGGTCTGCTTCGGACTCACCGACCTAACTGGGAGTCAATGGACGTGTACGATGGATCGGGACGAAATCTGAATCAAGCTGCCCAGCCAGTCTGGAATGAGGTATGACCTTTAAAAATGCGGTGTTAGTTCATAATGTCACATATGGAATTAATACCATAATGAAATTTTATAATTTCCTGAGATTTTACTTGGAGGTAATCATAACGAAAACGTGAACTGATATTAGTAAATTAGATATCAATCCGATTCCAAGAAACTTTCTATGAAAATTGAAAATACTAGCTTTTTGCACATCAAATATGACCTTCTGCTATTCTGGAGCTATTGAGATCCTGGGAGTAGGCCTATTATTTCTTATTCAACATGAATGCCATTGTATATTCTCCAAAATGTATTTAATATAGTCCCGTTTAGGATTACACTTGTAAGAATGCAGCAGCATTTTCAGGGATCCTAAGTTGGAAGAAATCCCTTGGAGATCTAGTTGAATAAAATTAGATGTGTTAAAAAATGAACACATTTAATTATATTTTACTGCGCATGGTGGTACCCAACGTCACTTCCGTGAGACAATTGATAACAAATTTGGATCCCTGCAATTTTAAAATAATGAAACAATACTGTGCTTATTCCAATTTAGTCAAATTTTTAATTGTATGTGTGTGCTTAACTTTAATTCAGAAAGTTTTTACTGAATGAACAGCTTTCAATTTTATTTCCTATTTCATGGCAGGGCTGACCATTATATGAGTAGGCCTATGTGTAGTGCAAAATATTATTATTTTAAAAATGCATGACGTATTATTATCACTATTGATTATTATGAGAGACACATTGTATTAAATGGATTCGAATATCTCAAGCGCATTAAAGTTACAGGTACCCCCATAATTCCGTCTCGCAACTAGTTAGGAAACATTTTTTGCGTACTGTAATATCCGTTGACTCAATTTTGAGATATCTCGGAGGAGTTAGATTAATACAGACAAGAACACTGGTCAGGAAATGACGTCATGCCAAACCAGGGACGAACCTGCTTCAGAAGCAAAGTATTTTTAAATCATTCTATAAAACAAAAAAAAATACATTCAAATACAAAGAACTATATTTCTGCAGGCACAGCTCAATGTGAGGTTTTTCAGGGTATATTTCTGTAAAAGTTCCAGTACCATTCTCAAATAACTAACGCAGTGGCTTATTGCAGATGTTATTTTTAATAATATGTTACGGTAATCGAGAGTAGGCCTACACATACTCTAAAGTACTTTGATGTTTCATATCATCGTATTATAAGCGCCACTCTAGAATAAGCACTGCACTGAATCATCAATATTAATATTGTATTAATTTACGGTACAGTATGTAAATGGATCAAGCAAAGCTACTGCATGATGCACCACTCCTCTTTTATATCTTTTATACTAGTTTAGTTCGAGCCTGCATTAGTTGAATTAGATTGAATCATCAGGTATTAAGGAACCTCGATACTAATGTGGTTGAATATTAGTCAATGCTCAATGTAAGCAATTTAAGTTCGTATACATTTGTGTTGAAGAAAGTGGTGTCATTCAGAATTCCGGTGCACTTGTGGCTAAGATAAAATCATCAGATTAAGTTGTAAATGACGTGTACGCAGCTGTCATATTGAGGACAAGTATAAGGTTATGTAAATTGGGTCGTTAACCCCACTGGTTAAACATTAGATTCGTGTCTACTCGATACATTTAACACCCACTTTTTACGCCTCCCCTCCCACACTTTTGGAAATCCGCCCCTGAAAGTCTTACTTTAAAACTATGGCATGTTGTTTATTTGATGATGAAAGCATACCATTCAAAAAATCTATTTTATATTGACAAAAAAAACATAAAGCATACTAATATCAATATAATCTTTATAGGCCTAAATATATTTTAGTAATATATATTTTTATATTATTGAAAATAATAGGTGTGTTTATTTTAATTTTATGCTCAATATATATACTGTCTCTTATACACATCTAGATGTGTATAAGAGACAGGCGGGACGTGCGGTACGGAATGGTTTGAATCTAGCTGAAGAGCTATGGGAGTCTCACGACACAGACATGTCTGTCCGAGCTGCTTATCGTACCATTGGCTGGTTACCTACAACACCTCTGGAGAAGACCATCGAATGGGCCTATAACGACTATTGGCTCGGTGACCGCCCAAGTGTAAGATTTTTTTTTTTTCCAAAATAATGCCTACCAAGGCAGTTTTCAGTGTAGTTATTATTTGTTAATAGTTGAATTTGATATTGTACTACGATATTACTATAATTATGAACAAACTATTAAATTATCTTTCAGATTATCATTTTCATTATCACTGCCATTAACATTTACATTATATTAACAAATTGTCATTGCTATTAACATTGTCATTTATTGACAATCTCATTGTCAATGACATTGACATCACACTAGCATTGTCATTGCTATTAACATTGTCATTTTTGACCATCTCATTTTCATTGCCATTAACATGGACATTGCACTTTCATTGAAACTGTCATTGTCATTACCATACTTTTATCAAGAAATGTTTCCTAACTGTTACTTATCGTTATTAATATCATTATAAATAAAAATCAATATCATTTCCATCATCATTAACATCGTTATCATCATTATCATCATCATCATCATCATCATCATCATCATCATCATCATCATCATCATCATTGTTATTATTATTATTATTATTATTATTATTATTATTATTATTATTAACAGCATTATTATTATTATAAGGAGGTAATATTTTCATCATTATTATTACATTATTATTATGAAGTAGATTAGAGGGTATTATTATTTTACTTACAGTATGCATCTCTGATGTCACATGCATTTGACGCACCTGAGTGGGTGAAACGAGGTGCTGGTGCCAGAAAACCAGCTTACATTACTGATCAACGGGGCTTTAAGCACTTCTTTGAGGCCAATATGCTCTTCCTGCAGAATCCAATGCACAAGTCAGTTAAATTTATTTATTTTATTTCAAATTAAAAATCCAATGCTGGGTGTGTTAGTGGCGGTTCCGGGGAACTGGACTTATGCCGAATATAAAGGCTTTTCTAACCCCGAACATGATGTCGCTGACCATCGAGATTCGCTAATTTGGGCCTTCGGTATGGAAAATAAATCAAGCCTAATAAGCCTAGGCCTGTTGGCTGATTTATCAAGTAGTCTTTTTTTTTTTGTGTATCTTTCTGGTTCGTCTTTTGACTTCATTTATTTTCCCCTCAAGTTGGCTTGCTTCTATCCTGTCTTTTGTCACTGTACAATACTTTGCTCCATCAAACAAGTTCCAACTTTCAATAAGACACACGTATGGAAACAATTAATTTTTCAATAATTTCATTTTTAATTACTGATCAATAGACCTTTTCGGAGTATCAATCAAACTTAACAACTGACCAATCAGAACAGCGCTAGGAATACGCACGCGTCTCACAAATACACGTGTGTTGTCCCACAAACGTACGTGCTCGCGTATGTTTTTAACACTGTCGCCTTGTGGGAAATTAGCAACAATATCCAAGGGCGGAGCTTAGCGGAAAGGTTCATTAAGTTAATATACAGGCAAAGGAAAAGGCAATTAGAATGTGTAAGGCGCGTACTCTCACTGTTGAAGTTTGCATGTCAACGCTTTTAAATATCATCATAATATATTCATTCATTGTTAAAGCCAGGCTCCGGAGTAAATTTTAATTTGTTGTAGAACTGATTTTCCTAAGACACAAAATGCATATATTTGACGAAAAACTCGAAAGCGGTTATGAGATACAGATTTTTGAATAATTAGTTAACCACTGCTTATCGACATGTTGTCGAACTGAAAAATCAGTTCGACAACATGTCAAATATAATTGAATTCATCACTTTATATAAGCCGTCCTTCATATTTATAATAAAGCATATAGGCCTAACTGCTAAAATATAACATTCTGGATTCCCTCTTTTGGCTATCATGAGTGCATTACCATTATAACATCACAATTGTGTTGGCTGATGGACTGTGGTATAACAGATGCATTCGTTGTTACTTTTAGAGCTAAGATACTTCTTAACAAGAATGTGACTCAAATCAACAACAATCCACTCGATATACAGGTCAAATGTGCTGATGGAAGTGTCTATTCTGCCGACTACGCTATATCCACGTTTAGCGTCGGTGTTTTGCAGAACAATGTCGTCAAGTTTGTTCCTGAGTTACCCGGATGGAAAGTAAGAGAGTATAATCGATTTACAATGGGAGCACATACCAAGATTTTGATGCGTTTTCCGACTAAGTTTTGGGGGAATAAAGAGTTTATCTTGCGTGCCACGGACAGGAAGGGTCATTATCCATTATTTACCGATCTAGGTTCTAAAGGTAAATGATTCTATTGTTTCATGATTTTTATTATGTAGGCATATTTCTATCGAAAATATTTATTTGGAACTTATGTACGGTGTGATCCTTAGTCTTCATATGGAAACTATTGATTCCGTTCCAAATCACCGTGACAATCTATGATAAATTTTTAAAACTCTTTAAAAACGCTGATTTGTATTAGGAACTGATTTCGCAGCAATAAAGTTTTTTTTTTCTATTTTTCCAAAAGGAATTTACAGTCGCAATGTCAATGTCCTTATGGCTGAAATTACAGGTGACGAAGCCAGGCGGATTGATAAGCAGCCGCAAAATGTCATCAAAAATGAAATCATGGCCGTACTTCGTGAAATGTTTGGTCCGAGAACACCAAATCCGACAGATTTCTATATCACAGATTGGAACTCGAACCCATTGACGATGGGTGCGCGCTGCGTATGGGGTCCGGCACTTTCAACGAAATGTTTCCAAAGGATTCAATCTAAAGTAGGCAGGGTGTTATTTGCTGGCGAGCATACCAGTCTACAGTTTAGTTCTCATGTGCAAGGAGCGCTTGAAAGCGGTGCCCGAGAGGCGAACAAAGCTGTACAGTGTATGAATGGAGGAGCATGTACAGAGTGGGTAGAAGGTCATCAGTGCGCATGCACTGGGAATGCACCAGCGTTCAGCAAAAACTCAGCGTCGAGTTCCCGAGTGACTAGTGCATGTGTTTTGACAGCAATCGTCTTCGCTTTAACAACATTCTTCAGCATCTAATTTGTTTTATTATACATGTGTATACTTAACTTTAAAAAAGTGCCTATGAACTTAATGTAGGCCTTAATAAGATCAAATGGCTTGTAAATAGCTAACGCTATAAATGCTGTTATGTGACTCCAACAGAAAGTTTCATGTTTTATACCTAATAAAAAAAAGTAAACACCCCGATGTTATCATGCAGTGATTGGCCAGTGAAACAACGCGTATTTGAATTACGCAGGAGTACGCAGTGATGGTGTGTTGTCACTCCGATTTGTGTTTCATTCCGCACCTCTACATAGGTCTATGTGCGTTTTCACAAAATACGAGGGATTTTGTTCCGTTTACCAAAGAAAGCAAAATAATTTCCAGCATTATTCAATGTTATTTTCTTTTTTAATTTTCCAAGAAAAAAGTAACATTGAATATATTACATATTGGATCCAGCCATTTTTCAATGATCTTTCTATTTACAATTTGTGAAAAATTTCACAACAGAACCTAAAATCTTGTGAAAATATGTTGGAGAATTCAAGCGGTTATAATCTAATGCTGCTAATTAATTTTTTTTGTAATATTCTTGAAATAAATGCAACTGTTATTTTGACAAGCTTGTGACCCCGGATGTATTTTTTATTCTAAAAAATAATAACATGAGTAAATATGATTGAATGGAGCCTAAAGTTTTAGAATGTACTATACCTAGGCCTATACTTTAAAGTTGTGGGTTGGCAGTTAATTAGGATGAGAAGGATGATGATGATAATGATGATGTACAGCAATACAAATAGGTCCTACACCACTTGTAGGGAGTCAAGAAATGTTTATTATATCTTATCGTAACGACAATATTGTATCACTGGTGAAATTTCATAAGCATTAATATTTTGAACATTTGGGTTATTTTCTTGTAAGGTGAACTATGGTATAGTGTATCATATTCACTCATTAAAAATTAGTGTTGTCCAATAGAAATATTATGAGGGTCATGGGTAACCAAATAGCCGCCAATTTATAGTTTGATTTTTCTGATGGTACGGTATTTTACGTTGGCCTATAGTCTTCTTTTTCCCTAACCGTTGGTAGTAGGAGCAGAAGTTGTCACAATTTTCTCATTTTCTAGTAATTTCAATTTCAATTTTCCTTTAATGTTTGTATGTTTTTTCCTGTCCCACCTAATTTTATGTAAAAATTGTTTTCTATATTTGTGTCTTTTATTGTGTGCCTTTTATTGTGTCTTCCAAAGTTGTGCTGAGAGTCTTGCTTTTCCTCAGCCGTTATTTTCTTGTAATAGCAGGACCTTTTCTCACGACTAAATAACTCTATTCCTTAGCCTCAATAAGAAACTTCGTTCATAAAGCATCGCGTCCGTCCTGTAAGTGATGAGTGTACTTACAGCTTGATATGAAGAAAATTTTAAAAAGTAATTCGTACTACAAAGAAAATTACTAGGTCTATAATTATTGCATAGTTTTACGAACAAAATTATAAAGCTATATTTTAAAGTCAATTCCTTTTCTTGTTATGTAGCCTACACTTTCAATAATTAGACAATATTTTTTAATTAATCAAGGCATGTTAATGTCTTTTTATGGCCAATCAATTACTAGCGTCGAATATATACAGGCTGGTCTTAAATCATTATCTCGTGGTATTGTATTCTTAACATCGTCTACGAATACGCTAATATAATTTACACATGGGTATCAGTGGACTTCACTATTGTCCAGAAATTTACCAACAGGTTACATGCCGTCTGAGATTGCATCAAATCAATTTACTTTTAAGAGTTAGTAGTTCTAACCATGGATGAGTTTCTAAGCGTTTGTGATTACTACATTTTTACTCCATATATTTATCCTGTTGACTGGTCGGAGGATTATGCACCGCGACAGTGTATTAGCATATGTCTAATTTTGTGGTTTAGCGGATTTTTGTTGTATTTCTTCACAGCTACTTTTAGTTATTTCTTCGTGTTTGACCATCAACTCAAAAAGCATCCTTTGTATATTAAGGTAAGAAGGTCCGATTATGTTGACCGTTGATAAGACGAACAACGATTGTACAAAATATTAAAATTATTTTTACTATAGCCACAGAAACATTACCATATAGACATAGGCATGTAAATATATATGTGTATATATAATTATATATAAGATTGTTAGAATAAAGGAACATATGACATAGGCTACTAATCTTGTCAAGCTTACAGTAGTTCTTCAAATCTCTCACAATAAGGACACTTTTATAATTAAATAATACTTATAGTTGAATACCTATTTCTTGAAACAGGTGTTCATCTTTATGTTCCTTTATCCGTTACTATTATCAGTTTGATATTAATTTACACACACACCCATATATATATATATATAACATGTTTAAAAATTGTGAATTGCAAATTACTGTATTAAGAAAGTGTAACAAAGAAATTGATTTTATAGTTGAAATCAATAACTCGATTGTATTTTGAGCTAATAAGAAAGAAGGTAGAAAAGATGTGTATAAGAGACAGGCATAAAATAGTTCATTGCTAAAACTATGGACCGTGTATAATATATTGATATAAGAAAAATGAAATACAAAAAAAAAAAAATAGATTTAAAAAATGACTGCGCCTCCATCTCCTACCTGCAGACAATCTTGAATCTTCCCCTAGATTTGAACCCAGGTCACACTGAAATTTGAACATAAACATCTTCACGAAATAACAGTTCTACTCCGGATGTAAAGTTATGTCAAAACTTTTTCTATGAGTTTGGAAGAAAAATTATTCAAAAATGTTTTAATGATATTTTGCAGGTTGGCCGTTTGTAATCTTCAGCATAATTAGCTTCATTATGTTTACTGATTGCCTGATATATTGGATTCATCGAGGTTTGCACCACCGGTCAGTTTATAAAGCAATTCACAAAGCTCATCACTCATGGAAGATTGTGACGCCGTTCTCAAGCCATGCCATGAACCCCGTCGACGCCTGGCTTCAATCCGTTCCCTACCATATCTACCCTTTCATATTCCCACTCAATAAATATCTCCACATAGCCCTTCTTATGCTGGTCAACTTCTGGGCAATCAGTGTCCACGATGGAAACTTCAAAGTGCCTGATATTCTGAAGCCGATTATTAACGGTTCTGCGCACCATACTGATCATCACATGTTTTTCAACTACAACTACGGACAGTACTTTACACTCTGGGATCGTCTTGGGGGATCCTTCAGAGTGCCTAGTGCCTTTGAGGGGAAATCTCCTTTGGATGAATTAAAGAAGAGATAATAAAACACATCCAAAATTTCGACGGTAAAACACATCAACTGTCTGATTTCAAAAGCATTAATGTAACAACTTTCCCATACCAAATCATTAATAACGTAGCACGATTCATCAATCTGATATAGGACCTCTGCTTAACAGAATCGATTACTGTTTTATGATGGATAAAAGTGTGGTAATATAATGCATACAATTGTACAATCTTAAGACTAATATTAAAGCATTGTGTAAAAACATGGGAATTATAGGGTTATAATATAGCAATTTATTTTTAAATATAATACTAATACGTCCACATAGCTCTTCTTATGCTGGTCAGCTAGTCCGTGATTCTGCATCTATTGGCATCTTTAGGAGGTGATTCAAAACTTTTCTATTCGCCTCTTAATATTAATTAACATTTTTTCTCATTCTTTGTTTCACCTCCTTAGCTAGTGTTGTTTTGGTTCAGGGTTAGGAGGCACAGCTGATCCCAACACTTAACCAATGCTAACCGGAGTAGGTTCCATAAACACAGATCTCCGGTTGGCGGTGAAAGTGTAACCCCATACTTCGGTTTAGGTGTTAGCTTGGTGTTTGTAAATGTTTTCTTGCTTATTTTTTTAGCCATTTTTTCATTGCCTTCTTACCTATTGTCGAGCGCATAGATACCTCATTTATTTGCGCTATATAAATCTATCAATTATTAGCATAATTATTAGAGCAAATTTAATGATATGCACATATTCGACAAAGTTAAGTGCTATACGATAATTTTAAATATTAATTAAGAATATGTTAAATGTTAAAGATATTGGATAAAGTATAAATGTTCTACTTTTTCTATTATTTTTAATTAAAAGGTGTTACGTAAACATGTTTAAAAATTGTGAATTGCAAATTACTGTATTAAGAAAGTGTAACAAAGAAATTGATTTTATAGTTGAAATCAATAACTCGATTGTATTTTGAGCTAATAAGAAAGAAGGTAGAAACAACATAACATACGAATTGACTATTTTTTTTATTTTTTGTAAAACAATGTTTAATACACGTAAAGGTGAACAAAACATAGTTAAATCTATTATACATTTTTTATGCCGTGCTTAACTAATTTAATCTATTTTAGTTCAATGAGGAGAGGGATGTAAGGTACTTGATAAAAAAAAATGTAAAAAACAAATGTGTATGTAAATGAATCTTTTTTGTTACTGTATGCTTTAAAAATATAAAAAAAATACATTGTAAATTTATGTTACCTGAACGGAAAATTGAAAGAAAGAATGTAAATTTAGTACAATTTTACACAAATGAAAGAATTGAAATAAATGACTATTGGTCAACGAGACAAAAAAAAAAACATGTTTGAAAATGCCTATGCTTTAATCTTCCTGTTTGCTATTATAAAGTTATATAATTTATTTTGCCCAAAAAAGCAGACTATTATTGCTTCTGAATATACTTCATTTTCAACTAGAATGAGGCTAAATTTAGGAGACAATAATGTAAACTACCTCTATTAGATATTTCATAATGAATATTTTATCTTCGTGTTAGCTTTATACGTAGAAAGTCTAAACGACATTGTGAGTTTTCTACTTAGGCTATGAAGTCTGTAGGGCCATAGACGGTAGGACAAGCCTGCTAATGACTTACGCTACACGTCTTTATTTACGGCAGTGGAACTTGCTATCATAAATTCGAAGTGACGTATCTGGAATGTGCGCGGCGGCTCACACCCCCTTCCAAAAACAAGAAAAAGCTCACCCCCATTTCCCAACTTCCCCCAATGGCCACCTTAAATCACCTAGCTCTCCTTCAATCATTATCCCCCTCCTATTAGAGCCCCCAAACCCACTCCGGCAATTTCAAGACTCCTGAATACGCCAGTGTTAATTTGACCTCCTATTTACTCCTACTTTAGAAATAATATCCATATTCATTCATTCATTCATTGTGTGTTTGAAATGTATACAGCATTAACATACAATAGTAAGTTACAGCAACATAATTCACTAACAGTACATTCAAAGACAAGATTTTTCGTTCACGGTTCTTGTGATAAGTCATCAATAAGTAAATTTCAAAATTAATCCTTATTGATGCATTTAAACCATCGTTTTCACACTTTACAATTAAACGTTATTTGCTGGTAAGAAGACCAATTGTTTCCCTACATGTACTACCTTCAATGATTAAACAATATTGTGTAGTAATTAATTAAATTGTGTTCTGATGGCCAATCAACAAGCCTTGGATATACAGCTTGGTCTTAAAAGATTATCTGGTGGTGTCATGTCCACTCGTACCTGGGTAAACTTTAATGTAGGCTTGACCACCGGTTTGTACATAGCTTCAATCGATTTAGAATTAAAGCTAACAGGCCTCAAATAGCTTTAAAACTTAAGACCATGGATGAGTTTCTAGGCGTTTGTGATTGCTACATTTTTACTCCATATATTTATCCTGTGGACTGGCCGGAGGATTATGCACCGCGACAGTGTATTAGCTTATGGCTAATTATATGGTTTAGCGTGTTTTTGTTATATTTCTTCACGGCTACTTTTAGTTATTTCTTCGTATTTGATCATCAACTCAAGAAGCATCCTTTATATATTAAGGTAGGAACAATTAGGTGGGAATGGACCTAATCTTTTTAATTTTTTTAATTTTATTTATTTTTTTATTTCAACCATCTTTAAAGAGGGTAACCCTTCCAGTTTAGCCCAGTAGGTTAACTGATATTCAGGGGCCCTCTTTAATAAAATTAAAGAACAGTACATACAACATCATTACAACATAATAATAGTAATAACAATAATAATAACAATAACAATAATAATAATAATAATAATATAATAAAAATAATCTAGAATTATTTTTCTTAATTTCTGATGAATTACTGAAAAAATAATAAATAAATTTGGATATACGTACATACATTGAAATTTTATTGAAAACTTGTCACTTATTATAACCATGCATAAATTAAATGCGGTATTAAAATGCCGACTCAACCAATACGTACTCTTAAACAAATAGATAAATATTATAATAAATTGTTAT